AAAAAGTGGTTTTTTTTTTTTTTTTTCTCTTTGAGAAATGCAGATTTGCATACCCACTGCTAGACTGCAACAATGATCCATTCTGCATAAATACGGCCAGATTTCGTTTCCTTTAGAGTTCAAATTCAGCAGAATGATTTTGTTTTTCAGCTGGGTCTGCACCATAACGCCTGTCCGTCTGCATTTTTCTTGTGTGTTTATCCTGCCCATTACTTACTGCAGTAGTTTCAACTACAAGATCACATCAGTGTGATATAGATCCACTGAGGAACAATTCCACTCCTTCTCTACTATAGGAGAAGAGTTGTATAAACTTGTTAAATCATCTAAATCAGGGGTGGCGAACTCCAGTCCTGGAGAGCCGCAGAGTTCAGCTCCAACCCTAATTAAAACTCACCTGCTTGTAGCTTCCTAGTAACCGTTCAGACCTTGATTAGCTTGTTCAGGTGTGTTTGATTAGGGGTGAAGCAAAACTCTGCAGGGCTGCAGCTCTCCAGGATCGACGTTCGCCACCCCTGATCTAAACCAACAACATGTATGTTAGACCCTATTCCATCTAAGCTCCTAAAAGAGGTGCTTCCAGAAGTCATAGATCCTCTTCTGACTAAATTTGTCTTTGTCATTAGGACATGTCCCCAAAACCTTCAAACTGGCTGTAATTAAGCCTCTCATTAAAAAACACAACTTGACCCCAAAGAACTAGTTACGGACCGATCTCGAATCTCCCTTTTCTGTCAAAGATACTAGAAAAGGTAATATCCTCACAATTATATTCCTTCTTACAGAAAAATGGTATCTGTGAGGATTTCCAGTCATGATTTAGACTGTATCAAAGTACTGCGACTGCTCTCATTAGAGTTACAAATGACCTGCTCTTATCATCTGATCGTGGTTGTATCTCTCTATTAGTGCTACTGGATCTTAGCACTGCATTCGCCACTATCGACCACAACATTCTTTTGAATGGACTAGAAAACTTTGTTGGCATTAGTGGAAGTGCATTAGCATGATTCAAATCGTATTTGTCTGACCACCATCAATCCGTAGCAGTGAATGAAGAGGTATCATATCGATCACAAGTGGAGATGTGCAATCACTTTAACCTGGCTTTCATATAACACACGAACACATTTCTATAATTCAAATCCGGTAAAGGATTGTTAGGCTGCATTAACTAGGTAAACAGGAACCGGGAACACTTCCCATAACACACGATGTACTTGTTACATCGTAAGAAGAATGGCACCTATGCTAATATTATTCTGTCCCAGTCTTATTCTGAGGTCACCGTAGCCACCAGATCCAGTCCATATCCAGCCCAGATGGTTGACCTAAAACCTCAGTATGTAATAACCTAGAATACTGTCTAACACTTGATGGCTGCTCTGTCAATTCTTCATCATTAGTTAGGATCCTAGGTGTGCTATTTGATAGCAATCTTTCCTTTGAAAGCCACATTCTAACATTTGTAAAATTGCATTTTTTTCATCTCAAAAATATATCTAAATTACGACCAGTGCTCTCAATGTCAAATGCAGAAATGTTAATTCATGCGTTCATGACCTCAAGGTTAGATTATTGTAATGCTTTATTGGGTGGTTGCTCTGCACGCTTAATAAACAAACTCCAGCTGGTCCAAAATGCAGCAGCTAGAGTTCTTACTAGAACCAGGAAGTATGACCATATTAGCCCAGTTCTGTCAACACTGCGCTGGCTCCCTATTAAACATTGTATACATTTTAAAATCTTGCTGATTACCTATAAAGCCCTGCACCTCAGTAGTTGAGCGAGCTCTTATCACATTATAGTCCTTCACGTCAGTTATGATCTCAAAACTCTGGCCATTTGATAATACCTAGAATATCAAAATCAACTGCGGGCGGCAGATCCTTTTCCTATTTAGCGCCCAAACTCTGGAACAATCTGTCTAACATTGTTCGGGAGGCAGACACACTCTGTCAGTTTAAATCCAGATTAAAGGGCCATCTCTTTAACCTGGCTTACACATAACACACTAATTGACTTCTACAGCCCTGAATGTCAGCGGAGACCAGGACAGCTAGATGAGCCCCAGAGACAGATCCCCAGTGAAGACCTTGTCTCCTAGTCTCCGGGACAAGACCACAGGAACCAGATGAGTCCTCTGCACAACCTGACCTGTGTTGCAGCATGGAATTAAACCACGCCATGCTGGTTTGGTCTGGCCAGAAGAGAACTGGCCCCCCGACTGAGCCTGGTTTCTCCCAAGGTTTTTCTCCATTTCGGTCACTGATGGAGTTTTGGGTCCTTGCCGCTGTCACCTTTGGCTTGCTTAAACTGGCCACACACTAGAGGATTTTAAGGCTGATTTTAAGCCAGATTTGCACCCCCAAATGATGGTGGGAGGGGGTGGCCCGATTCTAGGCTTGTTGCAAGCGATTTTTTGTCCAAAAAATCCTCTATTGTGTGGTTT